AACTGCATACTACCTAATAAGTCATTATTACAGAGTAAACTTAAGGCAGACTATCAAAAAAATGCGCATTTAAAAACCGGCAGCCTGGCGTGAACCAAATATCTTTAAAGTAAGCTGTACGCTATTTATTAGTACAACCATACTTACTTCATTTGTTTGAATTTAAAACATCGTTCAGGACTTCACTTTACGATTCATGAGATAGAAAATATACTGTATCTAAGCGCATGTATTAGACTTCATAAAAGTTTGCATAATGGATAGCCATTTCTACTTGTTAAATATGAAATCGCTATCCATCCTGGTTTCTACCTTTAAGAAACGCTCTTTCTGTCGTCAGTTTCTCATCTTCAATTATCAAAATGTTTCGATGCACCTACGGCCTCTCTTTCCCGATGTTATTTCTGCCACTGAACTTGTCGTAGATGTTATCGAGCAGCCCAAACAGTAGTCTGGTTCGAACAAAGTCGAATGATTAGCATGCTTTGATATTCATGCGCGCGATAACTTAATGTCAGTGCTTTCCTGAACAAACGTGTAACCGAAAAATTAATATAGATAGTTTTTACACATTTGGCATAGCCGAGAGTGGGAATGTTAACCATGCACACAACTCGCTTTTTCCTTTATCACAAAAAAGATTATCTTGATCGAATTTCCTACTGCAAATTATCAGTCTTTCTTATGGTGTCTACACCAATTCGACCAACAAATTTTATTAGTCCAGTTTGAGTCTACACTAATCAACGACTTTTATTTACTCCTGCAGTGGACATTACTTTTGCAGTTCAAGTATTAAGGAGTAATTTAATTGTTATCTCAGATAAGAGTGCAACATCAGATCGCTCATTCCATCTAGCCTGATTGGCTAGTATTTTGTGAGACAAGCTTTTACTATCAGGTAGTGTAGACCTACTAGGAAGATATCATTTGCTTTGCTCAATACAGTCAGTTTTTAACGATTGGCAAACACTTGTTGTCCAAGTAAAATTTAATTATTTTAAATTAAACTCATGCAAAATTTGACGTTAATAATAGACCCTTAATAATGACATTTCTCCTAAACAGGTTATTAGTAATTGTTTAAAATTTATCCTGACGCATTGTATAAGTAAACTAACTGACAAGTCAGAAGAAAGAGGAGCGTTCACCGGGAGAGGTTTATTATAAGCCTGAC